ATGAATTATTTAGTCTCTGTAAACAAAATTATCCTTCAAAAAATGTCCAGTTCAGGCCAAAACACCAGACTGAAGGATTTTATCATCCAGTTTTTGGTAGAAAGAGAAAAGCGATAAATGGAAATTATTGAGCTAGTTTTAATTTATCATGTGATTAACTGATTATTGCTTATTGAGAGACATGATCTGATCTGATTCCTGCGTGCAGCAGGTGTTACTGTCAGCCTAAAGCCTGCAGTCCGCTCAGAAACGCTGAACTTGATTCTGGATTCCAGTGAAGGCTGGAATTTTCTCTAGATTTCCTTCCAGGAACACAGAGTCAAGTAAACAGAGCAGGAAACTGTTACATCACCACAGTTTGGGCGCCAAGCCGACATTTTTTCAACAAATGAAGGTTTTACCTTCTGCGCTCAGGAAGTGCAGGATGACCACCAGCAGCAGTAGCACCACTTTGCACCGATGCATGGCTTAAAATACTGTTTCTTAAAAAAAGAAGTTCCACAAACTGGATTCCTCAGCGGTCAGGAGAAAATGCGAACTGGACGGATTGGTGGTGGCTGCAGATTAAGTCCACTTGCAGGAAGGGAAGGTTTTTTCTCCGTCTGTTTGGAGTCGCTTTGAACTCCGTCTGTGCGTCCTGCGCGCTTTGGATGCGTCTCCAACTCTCCTGGCGCTCCGTCTGGAGGGCTGAGCCAGCTTTAAAAAGCTCCACGCTGCCTCTGCTCATTAATATGCACGGCCAGGCAGCGAATCAAACACTTGTGGCCTGCGAGGAGAGGAGGTCTGGAGCCGGGAGGGAGGGCGAGCGGAGCCGGGCTCAGATCATGAATGTTCTCTCTGCTGGCTGGAAAATAACCTAAAACCTCCGAACCAGAGGTTATTTATATACGTTCACATCCTGGGGTAAAACCTTCATGAGAGATTTATAAAAATAAATATGTCGAAGGTTCCAGCTACGTGCATATTGATAAAACTAATAACGCTTAAAAAGCTGTCTCTGGATTTTATCGGTACGGGCCGTTTGTAAAGTCACTCAGTCAAAAACAGGAATAATTTGGGTTAATTAGCCTGTCGTCTTATTTTCACCGTATCATTGATACATTTGTAAATGTCGCAGTTCCAAGACAAATATTTAGCTAGCAAGCTAGCCAGCAAAAAAAAAAAAAAAAATTTAGCTTGCTAGCTAAATACTTCGTTAGCTAACAAAATATTTAAGTCCGAGCTAAATATTTAGCTCAGAAAACATTTTATAAAACAAATATTTACTCTGGAACTTAAACTAAATATAAGCTAACAAGCTAGCCTGCTAACAAACAATGTGGGTTGCTAGCTAAATGCCTTGTTAGCAAGCTAAATATCTAGATCTGAGGTAAATTAAATGTTTACCTTACACACTTATTTTTAGGAAAATAAATACTTATATTGGAACTAAAATACATATTTAGCTTGCATACTGGCCTGCTAACTAAATATTTAGCTTGCTAGCTAGTTTGCAAGCAAAATATTTAGGTCTGAACTAGATATTTAGTTTGGAAGATAAATATTTAGCTCGTAAATTAATTGTTCAGCTCGGATAAAAATTTGTTTGGAAAATAAATATTTACATTGGAATTTAAGCTAAAAGATTAGCAAGCAAGCTAGCCTGCTACATTTCTTGATTGCAGAGAAAGCTATAATATCTAACAGCTTGTTAATTGGCAGCTTTTCAATGCATGATGGATGAAAGAAATTGCAAAATATTTTGTTTGGAAACTAAACATTCATAAACTCAATATTTAGTTTGCAAATTAAACATTTTGTTTACTGATGCTGTACAGAACAACTAATTAATTATTAAAGTTGTATAAAATATTACTTCAGATACCTCAAGCTACATTTCATTCCTAGAAAGCAACTTGTTAAAAAGAAAATCTCCCAAAAACGTCTGATGAAAAATAGCTGTAATGACTCTGATGTAATGTTTGCAGCTGCAGGTTTTCATGTTGCATCCAAAATAAATGCAGTCATTGTGTGAGGTGGTGCCAAAAGGTCGAACATTTCTGTAAACGATAGCCCTGAGAAGGAGCTGATCCTCCCACCTGGGATCCCCTCATCACAGGATTAAACTGCAGCCATCAAAACTCTGCATCAACAGGGATTTCTCTCTCTCTCTCTGTGTGTGTGTGTGTGTGTGTGTTCACCTCACAGCCCTGAGCATCAGCCCAATCAGCTCCTGTCATCACTCAAACCAGCAGCCATGGCGTTCTGCCCGTATGAATGCTGTCATCATGTTTTCATGCCCATTATGGTATTAAATGAGTGCCTGACGTTTACACCAGGGGCCAAATTGTTGAGTCAAAAGTGCCTCGGGTCAAAAACCAACCGAAAATCAAGCAAATAAAGTAGCTAAATTTTGCTACAAACTATTTCATATTTCCACATAAATTGAGATTCATCTGAGAAATTGTCTAGAAAAATTTTTAAATAATTGTTGACATTTGTAACTCAAACATTTTCAAGTTTGGTGGAGAAAATTTCTGAGTTTAATTTCAAATTTTCAGATTCTTTTGGTGGAAATTTAGAACAAAAAAAATTCCAGCTGAACCCAAAATCAAGCAAATTTAGTCCGATTTTTTTCTCTCCAATATTTACTGTAAATCCAAAACTTGAAGGGTATTTTTACGATAGTGTAATAGGGCTATTGAAGATAAAAATAAAAATAAAGAAAAACTATGGTTTTCTAGAATTTTTTTGTTGAAAATTTTAGACTTTCTGAATTTTTCTAATTTTCGACATTTGAAATTTAGAAATTTAAATTTTTAGTATAAAATTTCTGGGATTACTCTCAAACTTCTTTGAAAGGCATCAAAAACAGCTCTGACCAGGTGGATTTTAGTCTGGGTTTAAAGGAATCAGTGTTTCGGCTGCTTTACAGTTTTCCCAGAAGTTTGTTCCAGATTTGTGTTGGATCATTTCAAGACAGTTTGTGCTGTACTTTACATTTTCCACTGTGAGAAAATTACAAATTAAAACATTTTTATATAACACACATAAAAATGTTCCAAATCAAATATTTTATGTCTAACTTGTTTACAGGATGAAAACAAGTTAGAACACTGAGAATGTTTGTGACCAGCTGAAAATCTTAAAATCGTTTAAAAGGCAACAGAAACCAATAATGTCGGCCACTGAAGAGCTCGGACTGTGTTATTTGACTTGTATGCGACTTCTCCACAGAAATGAATTAGTTCATCTTCATTTCTCCACTGATATCGACATTTTCAAGTTTCAGAACTTGGACAAAATGCTTTTTTCTGGTGTTGGATTTAACCGTTTAATGTAAAGCAGTTTCTTGTTTTCATGCCAGGAGGATCTAATGACTAAACCAGAACGTCGGACTCTGTTTTGGTTTTTGAAGTTTGTGTGAGTGATGTGAACGGGATGAAAGGAGCCGGTTCCTGCTGACGGAGTCGGGCCGAGCCGGGCGGGGCCGGGCGGGGCCGGGCGAAGCCAACATGTAAACGCTGCTCATGTTCCCATCACTTCATTTTCATCAGATTACAACCAGGAGGAATAAATAAACATCAGCGCGTCTGAAGTGAAGGAACGACGGAAACCTGTTGCTCCATTTCCTCAGGAACTGAAATATTTCCAGCTGAAAGACTCAACAGGAATTTATTTATGTGCTTCAGTTTGACTGAATTCACTTCACAGCAATAATGCTCAATAAATACTTTCACAATGCAGCACAATGCAGCCTGGACTCACAACAAATTAAAGGTTTAACATCTTAGTGAAACAAAAAGGAAATGAGGAAAGTTTTTGAGTTGATATTTTCTATTTTGTTGGTTTGCAAAACGTTTTTTGTCCAAGATTAATGCATGAATGTTTCTTTGCAACACACTGATTTTCAAACCAAAGATGCTCCAAAGACTCAGCAGCCGCCTCTGAGTTAGAGAACATTTTGTACAGTTTGTTCCTGAGGGTGGAAGATAATTAGCTGGCAGATGGGAAGGTAAACATCTGGTCTGCATCTCTGAAAAGACAATTTCTACTGAAAAATTTAAAAATAATACAATCTCTGTTTATGAGACTTGGACAGAGTGGATGATTCCAGCACGATCAGAGAGCTGCTGCTGATCTGCTCTGACCTCTGACCCCAGGATGGCTGTTTCAAACCCAGGCTGGCAGATGAACCTGAAACAAAAACAATCCGTCAAAAGAAAATGACTCAAATCTGTGTGAATTTGCTGAAGTTCAGACGGAAAACAAGCCAAATGAAGGCAGCAGCTGCTCGTCCAGGAAACGATTTCCTTCCTTATTGTGACGTTGAATGTTTGGTCACCACAGTAAGTCTGAACCTCCCAGTAAATCTGCTCACCATCGAATTATTAAACACAGAGAAGATTTATTAATGGTGCGCAGGTGTTGAATGTTGATGCCTCATAATGATGCAGTTCATCATTCGATCATTCAGTTTTTTTTAATCTTTTATTACAGCAAGAAAAGGAGAAACTTAAATTTTCCCCAACGTGTGTGGAATCACATTTTTGGTTTTTGAAGATTTAATTTGTGAAAAATCTGAATTTTTTTCCCGCCAAAGCAATCGTTTGGTCTCCACAGTTCAGGGTGATGTCAGCATGGTGGGTGGCCATCTTGCTTTACAGCTTCTGTTTGTTGGCATTTTGAGAACATGAACAATAACAAAAATTTTAATAACTTGTTTCAGAACCTGATAAGCCATAAAAACGACTTTTTTCTCTCAATTTCAAGACATTCTGGTAAAATTCTCTTTATTCTCAAAATTAAACAGCAGTTCTTGAATCCTAACTCTGACACTTGCAGACAAAATAATTTCATTTTTTATTTATTTTCTTCTAGAAAAGAAAGTGAGATTTCAAAAATAATTAAAATTGGAAATTGGATGTTGGTGGAAAAATAGATCTGACTTTTTAAGTTATTTTAATAAAAACTGGATGATGGAAATCTCCAGTCTGATGTTTTGGTCTCAACTAAACCTCATTTTTGAAGGATAATTTAGTTTACTTCATAATTCACTTTATTTGTTGTTTTGTTTATTTTGAATATTTATCATGTTCCAGTTTAATGTTGATTAGAGTTTAAATGTGTTTTTGCATTATATTGGTTAAAAATGGTCCCAGAACAACGATATTATCATTTATGGTGATGAACTTTGTTTTGATGTTGGTCCCTTCTGCGTCTGCAGGCTGGCAGATCAACCCGGATCAGAGCAGCAGATCCTCCCGTCCTGGTTGATCACCTGCAGATAATCCTGAGGCAGGAAAAACTCCCAGCTGCTGCTGCCGTTCGCCTCCGTTCTCCTCAGTCAGCCGCCATGTTTCTCGCCGCGTGGATCTTCAGCAGAAAACGCTGCAGCTGCTTCGGAAAAGTTCCAGCTTTGACTTTTCTCCAGGTTTCTGTCAGAAACATTGAGGTTTTAACTGAGTTGGAGGTGAAAAGGATGTTTTGCTCACATCTGCATGATATTAAACTGAACAGAACAAGAACTAAACAGCGAATGTAATGTTTTATTATACAACCGGTTAAACATCTCTGGTTGTGAAATAATTCACTGCAGGGGTTGAAGTTGTTGCACTGCAAAAACACAAAATCCTACCAAGTATTTTTGTTCAGTTTCTACTGCAAATATCTTTGAACATTTGAAATAAAAGTTATTTTTCAGCAAGAAATAGTAGTTTGTGTTAATTTACAGCAGCGAAATGTCCAAAACAGAAACATGCTGAAAAGTAATGGGAATGAAAGGAGTTGGCAGTATGGTACTGAGGGACATTATTATAATTAAACATTTAATTCTGTCATTTTGCTTTACTCATATTTTTAAACTGTTTGAGGTTCAGCAGAGCCTCACATTCAACATGTAACATTCTCTGTTTTCACTCAAAGCTTTGCATTAAATTAAGAAATTTGCATTTGAGCTCCAGAAAAATGTCTTCAGGTCTTTAGACTGTTGATCCCGGATCTTTGCTGTCAAACTGAAAGTTTTATCTGGAGACAGTTGTTCAGATATTTTGCATGCATTTTTCTCAAACTGCAGCCAGACGTGAAAATCAGCTCAGAAAAGCCAACATGACAAACATCAAAGGTCGAATCAGGTTTTCACAGATTCCTCGCTGAAAAAGAGACGAAAACTAAAAGCAAATTAAAACTAGAAACTCTGCAGCTTCCATCAAACCCACATTTTTCTGTTTCTCCTCTCCAGGACTGTTTGTTCCTTTTGGATGTGTTCCTCTCTTTCTTGGCAAAATAAAACATAAAGGAATGTTTCAGTGAACAGATGCTGCAGAGGTTTTCATCACAGTGTTCAAATGAGAAAAGAAAATCTAAAAATCAAGCAAATAAAAGGAAAATGAATAGATTTTTTGTTTTTTGTAAATAAAAACACAGTGATGTAGAAATGTGAAGAGAAAGGAAAATGATGTTTTGTTTTAAACATTTGTAATAAATGCTCCAGCTTTCACTTCAGTCCTCTTTCTTACATCGACCATGGTTTTATTTAGATTTTTATATGCTGGTGATACTCTGCTCTATTTATCAGTAACTTTAAATGTCCTGACTTTCAGTTCGGAAAACACAGAAGTTGTTTTTATAAAAGCCAGCAGACGCTTTGTAAGTTACAGAAATGTTTTTTTAGATATGTATTGAAACTGTCACCATGTTGTGACAGTTTCATGAGGCAGATAATCTGCAAAAAGATCGATCTCCTCCATCTCCAGTTCTAACTAGAAGCAACCAATCAGAGCCAGGGGGCGGGTCTTAGCGCTGTCAATCACTATCTCAAACTACGCTGCAGCTAGCAAAGCCTGTTGTGAATGCTAAGGCTAGTTAGCATAGCCACCGCTGACCGACAGCAGAAAAACGGTTTTCCTGTAACAGTAAGTTATTAGCACATTTAGCAGTGTGTACATGAGTTGATTGACAGCGTTAAGCCCCGTCTCCTGGCTCTGATTGGTTGTTTTTGGTGCATTTCTTCAGACGGCAGCTCAGGGAGGAGGAGATCGATCTGCTCACAGATTATCTGTCTCATAAACTTTGCAACAGGGTGACGGTTTTAACAAAGATGTAAAAAATCTTTTCTTTACAAAAGTTACAAACTGCAGAATAAGATGAAGAGTTTGGCTGCAGGATCTGAATCTGATCATTTCTGAACACTAGTTAGTTTATGGAGAAGTCAAGCAGAAAGTAAACATTAAGGAGGAAAACGGGCTGAAGTCCAAACGTCCAACCAGCTAAACGCCGAGGAAAGGTTTCACCACAACGTCTTCTAGATTTATACTAAAACCCTTTTTAAATGTTGATAAAATGTTTGAACTTCTTCAATTTTCTACTAATAAAGTTGAACATTTAGACTACACTGTTCGGTTATGAGGTGTGAACGCTAACTGACCTCTGACCTATGGTCCTCCAAACCTCGGTCTGGGTTTGGTTTGAATGTGAACGCCAAGCGGATCGGAGACCGCTCCAGAAGCAGGAAGGGGACTACAGTGCAGGGCATTCTGGGTAAATACAACCAAAGCTAACATGCTAGCCTAGCGCTAGCAGCAGAAATGGCTCCTGGTCTTTAGCCTAAAGAGAAATCCTCCAACCGCTAAAATCTGACGCCTCCATCTTGTTTCCATCTGGTGAAGCAGGAAGTTGCTCTCAGAGTCTTCAGAGGTTTTTGTGTCGTTTCCTTCAGTGGTTCTTGGTGCAGCGCCCCCACAGGCCAGGAGGGGAACAGGTTGGTCAGAGGGTTCGGTTGAACCAATGTTTCCGTTTTGGCCTCAAATCGAACCGAGTCGCTCAGACTGTCGGGCGTTAATCAGATCTCGTCTATCAGGCTAAAACAGAGACGGACGTCACACTCTGACCTCCTGCTGACCCTGAGCACACAGCTGAGAGCGCGGCATCCTGAATGAAACACACACAGGCAGCGTATCCACAGCTTCAGTTCACCAATATGAACCCAGACATGAAGTTTAGGCCGGCTCCATGTCTGCTGAAGGCCTGAGGGGGAAACTATTCATGAATGAGATGCAAAGTCTGAACAAACACAGGAGACGTGTACATGGAGTCTGAAAACTCCCGTTTCATGCCATTTCCACGTTCTCTTTTGCTTTTTGCATCAATAAAAGCTGCCAACACACACACCAACACACCTAATGACTGCTTTGTGTCCTCATTTTACGGCGAGCGAGCGCTCACACCCGGCCCAGAGCGCTTTGTACCCTCATTATGGAGCCGTTAGACTCAGGCTACTTGGGATTGCAGACACGGGCCAGGCAGATGTCCTCTGGCCCTGCATACCTAACACACACACACACATGCATGCATGCATATGTGTGTGTGCACTTCCTCTGGGTGTGTGACCTGGTTCTTGTTACCTGGTGTCAGGTTGGTGTTTTACAGGAAAACAGGAGCTTTATGTGCTTCACGTGAAGAGATGGAAACACACCAGCAGGGAGAAAAACTTGTTTTTCTGAAACAGAAGAAGGAAGCAGAGACACATTACTGATCTAGAATTACAGATCTGTGTGGAGTGATCGCTCACGTTTCAGAAAACGTCTTTTCCTCAACTCCTGGCATCACAAACGGGATTTCTGTCAGGTTACAAACAGAAAAATCAATATGTTTGATATTTAGGATAATATCCGGTAGATAAACACAAAGATGCAATTAAACGTGAAGTGGAAGCAAAATAATATTTGGTGTTTAGTTTCACCTAAACTGAGGTTTAAACCTTCAAAACACTGAATAATGATGTTCAAATCATTTCACATGGAATAAATGAGGACATACATAATTTATTCCTCGCCAAAAACGGCACTTTATATAAAAATGTAAAAAGTCTTTTCTGTTGTTTATTGTTGAGAACTTAAATTTATCAATATTTCTGATATTAAACAACTATATGTTCAAACATGTTTCATTTATGTTCGTGCTTTTTTATTTTGCACAAGTCTTAATAATAATAATAGTAACAATAATAATAATACAATATATTTGTATAGCACCTTTCTAAGAACTCAAAGATGTGTATAGGAGTCTAACAAGATCAACAACAACAGAAAAACACAAAAAAAGAGAGATTATACATGCTGTTTTAGTTCATTCCTTTTGTGTTTATTCTTGTCTTCTGTTATGTTGTGCATTTAGATTTAGTTTCCTTAAATTTGCTTTTTTCTAATTTAGCTTCCTGATTGAGGATCTGATGCAGGGACTGAAAACTGAAGTCTTCCATCTAATCTGACTGAGCTGGAGACGTTTTACAGAGAATAATGAGAAACAATTACAATCTGCACAAATTCAAAGGTGCTTTTGCAAAGTTCTGAGTCAAATTCACACCGCACCTTTCAGATTTTTACTGAGTGAAAATATTTACTGTGTCCATGTCCAGTTTTGCTGAAGCTCCAGTTCTGCAGTATTTTGTGTTGAACTGAACTCCTCCCAGTGTTGAGGAAGCTCCCTGTGCTGCAGGTGAAGTGCGCAGCAGGTGGCGCGAGGTTCTCTGTGAGGGACAGCAGCTCGAAATGAGCCGCCTCAGGCTGTTCAGGCTTCACTGGAATCAGACAGGACCGCATGTGGCGCACAAGATGGCAGGATTCCTGTCTGAACCTCACTTTGCTGAAGGATTTTTCAACTTTGATTGTTTTACTGCATTTCAAGACTGAGACACATAAATGCATCAAAAAGTAAAACGTGCTGTTTGTAAGCTTACAGTCAAAACCCAATAATTTGGGTTTTTTAATAAAGACATTAAAAAATGCAGGTTCATGTTTTAGTCATATTTTCTCCATGTTATTCTTTCATAACAGTTTCGACTCCAGTACTCGATTAGCTAAATGTTTAGCACAAAACTAAATATTTAGCGCCAACTAATTTACTTTGAAGCTAAATGTTTATTTTGAAGGTAGGTGCTTACCCTGAAGTTTAATATTTACCTCAGGGCTAAATATTTAGCTCAAAGTTAAATATTTAAGTAAAATTTACTTGTCAATAAACAGAAGTGGCCAGCTAAAATAAAAACGGCATCTTCTGAACTTCTTTATAAACTCCTGCTTTCAAATCGCATCTATTTTCTTTTCTTTTGTTTTTTTGTCCAACATTTCAGCTCAAACAAGCAATGAGTCGCTTTAAAGGCAATATAGACGTTTACCACTAGATCTACAGCAAGCAGCACTTCCATTTATCGGCAAGTAAATATTTAGCTCTGAGCTAGCTTAAGCTTTAGCTTGTTCGAGCTAAGTAAAAATTCTGCTAGCTCTGAGCTAACTGAATGCTTTGAATGAAGCTAAGCTCGTAAACTAAGTAGTTAGCTTGCTAACAAACTAGTTTGGCGTTAAATATTTAGTTTATTTAATTAGCTGTTTTGTGAACCTCTTTATGAACTCTTGCTTTCAAAAGGCTCCCTGTCTATTATCGTTTTTTTCTTCTTTTCATGTCCAACATTTCAGATGAAACAAACGAGTTGTTTTAAAGGCAACATAGATGTTTACCAGTAGATCTACAGAAACAGTGAAGCATCAAGTTTTTGTCTTGATAGTCCATTTCTCCTTATCAGCAAGTGAATTTTCATGTTAAATATTTAGCTCTGAGCTAGGTATGGAGCTAGCTTGTTCAAGCTAGGTAAATATTCTGCTGCTCTGAGTTAGCTGAGTAGTTTGAAGCTAAACTTGTAAACTAAATTATTGAATTTTTGACTGAACGATGGCATCCCACCATTCAACTTAACGGATACCTGGAGATGCGTCATGTTTGTACAGCAGAAGGTTCAGCTTCAGCTTCTACTGATTTACCAAGACTCTCATCCTCCTGTAGGCCGACTTCCTCTCCTCTGTCATGTTTTGGGAATCTGCCTGCAGTGAAGATGAGAACAAAGATAAGATGGTGAATTAAAACCCACCCAGACTCGGAGAGAAGCTGAAAGCGTGATGAGCATCAGTGCGTGCCGGGAAGGCGTGGGACAGCCGTGATGTACGTCAGTCGCCGCACGCTGCTGTTCAGGACCAAAGAAAAGGCGTCTTTGTTCCCCATCCAACCCGAGCCACATGAAAGCGTCAGAGTGACTCAGTTTTCATGAAGATCCACATTCACTCGATGCATAGGAATTAAAACTGAGTCAACACGGAAACTGACTCTTTTGTGCTTCCTTCATTTATGTATTTTTATTCTTTCATGACTCATGAGCAAACATGATTATGAACGTCACAAACGCTGCATTATTGTTGAAACTCCTGTACACGTGACGCTCTGCCCCTGAAATTCTGATTCAGTGGATTAACTTGACGCAAACATGATATGAAATGGAAAAATAATGATAAAATGTCAGCTAAATTCAGCTTACATTCACGTTTCAAATGATAAAAGTCTTTAACAGATGTTTTTACGGACTGGGGATGCACTCCACACTTTTAAGATTTTAATACATTAATCATCTAATGAGACACTTTACTTGGATTTTAAGTACTTACATTTTATGTTGCATTTTTACAATAACTTTGCCAGCAATAAATGAACAAATTTTCAACATTTTCATGTAAATTTTAAAGTCTTGAACTTTTGAAAGATTGAAATGGTACAAAAAATGATTTTAAAAATGAACGTATATCAGATTCTAGACTTTATTCCTTATACGTTTGTAGAAAATGTTTGTCCTTTAAATAATCCACCAGCATGTGCTGCATGAGTTTACACTGTATAAAACATTTACACATGTTGAAGTCTTTTTCCCTTTAATTTTTCAAAATAATGATAAAAATTCAACTTAAATTCAGATTTCAAATGATAAAAGTCTCAAACAGGGTTTTTACGGCCGAATACAAATTTGTATGCACTCCACACTTTTCAGATTATCATTTAACATTTTTAATTTAAAAACTTGCAGAATCCAAATAAAACACTGAAGTTTATGTTACTAATAGGCCTGAATGAATTAACATTTTAATGACACATTTTAAATTGGAGTTTTACAACAAATGCACAGTTTTGATTTTTTAGTTGATTCCTAAACGTTTTGAACAAAGATTAACACAAATAATGTTTTAAAAAATTACATAAACTTTGCAGTCAATTAAATGTATTCCCCAAACATTGCAGCACCCTAAAATGTGTTGAAAGTGTACTTTCTTCTGACTGTGGGAAATCTTCCGGAAACTGCAGTAATTTCCTCAGATAATGTTTGTAAGCTGTAAAGACTTTCGACCTCACAGTGAAAAACTCAGCAGCCAACATGCCTTTATAGAAAATGACTTAATGGCGGCTCTGGATGGATTTTCTCTTTTCAGACGAGCGCTGCTCTTTGAGGCAGATCTGGGAGGAACCTTTCAGAAAACATTCCTCTTCTGTCGAATAATCACAGGTTTGCTCAGGTGAATACTTGTGCAAACATGTAGTCAGCATACCTGTTGAAAACCCAAACTTCTTACCTAATCTGATTATTTAAGTGTTTTTCTCTGGACGAGTCTTCCTGCCAGAGTGGGATTGTTGCAAAACAGAAAATTGCATCCCTTGCAGCCTCTCAGGTAAAATATTTTGCGTCTGTGGCTGTTTCTGCTGAGTTCGTCACCAGCTCAAATAAAACATTTCAGGAAAATCATATGTTTGGGTTTAAAGATGCGCTGGAAGAAATTACTGGTTGCTCAACCTGCTGGAGGGACTTATCAAAGGTTTCCAAACATAATCTGCAGGAAATTACTGCAATTTCTGGAAGATTTTCCACAGAAGAGTCAGAAGCCTTTCAACAATCCTCTGACTGAGATGAACGCGCCGCTAACTGGGCTTTTTATGCAGCTGTTGAGATATTTTATGTTTAAAAAGAGCAAACTCGAGCTGAAAGATTTTACAGGATGAACTTCGTCAGATTAAGGTTATTAAGCTCTTCATTTTCAACATGTCTTCCTCTGCTCCGCTCCGGTTCCCTCAGAGGGGATTTATGGATTTGTTTTTATCTTGTCTTTATTTTGTCCTCTCTTGTCTTTCGCTCATGTTTTTACTTCATTTCTCTGAAAATATTTAACTTCTTTGATTCTTTTTTAGCGTCTGAATAACAAAAAATTAAAAAATTCATTGTTTTCCCAGATTTCTCAAATTGAAATCACAATGTTTGATATATTTTTATATTATTGATCAACATAAAGTTGTAAATAAATGTGTCATAGAAGAAAAACAGAACATGCTGCTTAGACCTCGTCCACACATACTCAGATATCTGAAAAGTTATATTTTTATGAGTTTTAGCTTTTTGTCCACACAAAAACTCACTTTAATATCAAGAATGTAGAAGAACTAAAGAGTTTAGTTGCGTTTAAATGCAACTTCTGAGCCTCCTGGCGCCATGTTTAATTCCTAACAGGAAGTCATGGTAGTTTTGAAGCATTCTGATTGGCTGGTTGAGGATTTCGCTTTGCGCTGCACTGCCCCCTACAGGTCTGAATGTTTACAACAACGCTGCGCAGCGGATTTGTTCGGGTTTATGTGGATGAAAACTTCTGATGGAATAATTACATTGAATTTCCACAACACTGACATTAAACTGCCAGGAACATTTTATAAATCTGATTGTCATTAGTTTGTGGAAAATAATTTTTTTTTAAATAGCAAAATTTTCAAATATTAACACAACTCTTTTCACAAAAGTTTAATATTCGTCTTTATTTGAAAACCTTAAAAAATAATTCAAGTGGATTCTTTAATAATAACCTTTATTTTAGGAGACGTTTTATAAAATATCATAAGCTCTCTGTCAAAAGGTTGAGCGCTTCAGTTTCAGTTTAAAGATTTACTAATTATTTAAACTTGGAAGAACAGATAAAAACAAATCTGTAAATTATACTTTTAAAAAACACACTGCAATGATAAAAATGTGGTGTATAATGAGATGTTATTTATATTCAGCTGAAATCAGATGCAGAAATCCTTTGCGCTCAAAGCAATAGAGGAAACAATTTGATGACAAAAAATAAAGAATAAAATTAAACATGAGTCAGAGAACAAAAACGGAGAGGGAGAAATTCTGAAACATCTCGTGCAACAAGATGATCGCTGTAATTACATCAAATTAGTTTGACCATTTAAATCAGACAATGGGTTCTTCACAAAAACATCCAACACACCCAAACAGCAGCAACTAGCAATCAGCTGATGGCGTCCATCTGGAAAAATCACCTCAGATTCATCAACGTCTGCATATTTCTGTTTTCAGCTTAGATGGGAATAAACCCTGAGAAACCAGCTGGGCTTACAGAGACAGGCTCACATTCCTGTTAGATTAAAATAAATGCTTTGCACCTCAGGTTTGCTGGAGGACACTCAGTCATCCCTCCGGTTATCCGTAACAACAAACTTCTTGTTCATGTTAAAATAAAGCTGCCTGGAAGCACATTTCCTGTCCCACAAAGCAACCCAGAAACGGACGAGAACAAAGAGGGAAATCCATCATTCCTCAACGTAGGAGGCAGCATGTTCTTATCAAATGTTTCTCTTTTTGGATACCTAGAAGAGAATCATGGGACTGCTGCCATGTTTAATGTTTGTCCAGTTTTTCTGTCCAAACATGGCCAGATATTTTTAAAATGATGAAAAACAAGATACTTGTTACTATTAAATAATCTTGGTTTAAGAAGTGTTCATCCACACAGAGCTGCTGAATTACAGCGTGTTTTAAACATGCCAAACCCGTAGGGGGCAGTGCAGCGCTAAGCTAAAACCTGTCAGCCAATCAGAACCTTAAAACCTCCACCACTTCCTGTTAGAAACCAAATATGATGCCAGGATGTTTAGATAGAGGGGTTGAACTGCCTTTAAATGCAGTGTTAGAATATGAAGTCACTGGGAATCTTGTTAAATCAAACATGGCAGCTGAATGGCATTGAGCCTCCATGTTGGTGAGGGACAGCTCTGATCTCTTTCTTTGAAACTCAACGTATTGAAGCAGCTGGGCGTATAAAAGAAACAAGTAAAAAGTGTCTGAACAAAAAAAAATCTGCCTTTTTCTGGAAGCAGCCATCTTTCATTCTCTGCATGATCAAACACAGGGTCGGCCAAAGCATTTCTGGGCCCTAAGCAGATTTTAAGAAGGGCCCCTCTTACCAACATGTCAACACCAGACACTTTATCTTTCCTAAGAGTGTAACTATCATTAGCATAATTTGTAATTATTATGGCTGTTTATTTTAATGTTACAGGAGCAGCAAACTAAAAAAATATTTGGATTCTGAAATGCAGAATGGGATTTATGTGAATTTTAAGTATTTGAAAGTAACATTAGCTAATAAACACTAAATTTACAGTAAACAAGCTGATCAGTCTGATATCCTGCAGAGACTATAAAACTATGACAGTAATATAGAAATTGTGTGTAATAGAATATAGTTTGTAATGTTATTTTAAAAATATTCTTATCATGTTGGCTTGGTGCTCTAGGAGGCCCCCTGGTGGTGTGGGGGCTCCTTGCAGCCGCCTAACATGCAAAAGCATAAAAGGAGAATTCACAAATCTTCACCTTGGCCGGAGCTTTTATCATCAGTCGTTTTTAGTGATTTAAATGGAGATTATGTGTGGATGAAAGGCCAAATTGTATAAAATCTACTTGGTCCTTGTGGATGAACGTGAACCGGAGCATCCAGAATCCGAAGCAGGAGCTCAGAGACACGTCTGCGCCTCGGCGTTCCCAACTTCCTCATTTCCATCCAGAAGTCCGGGAGGATTTCTAGGACAAGAGGCTCCAGACGCCGACACGACGCAGAACGAACACAACCAGGAGGGGAACTAATAAACATGTGTCAAAAACAAGGCACATAAAAGCCAGGATTTGTGTCGGCGTTTGGTTGAGAATCTCCCCGCAGACAGTCATGACAGC